GACTGACCTCAGGCTGCAAGGCCCAGATTGAGTTCCCCAACCTTCTGAATGGTTGAACTCCCCAACGTTCTATTACAGGTTTCCCACGCCCTTTCTTTAAAGATGTTCAAAGTTGGGAACTCAGAAAAATACCCTTGATGACCACCTCTGCCTATGCAGAGTGGGTCCAAAGACTGACACAGGAGGTCTGAGAGTGTGGGGGAGGGGGGCTTATGGGGATTCAGGGGCTCCCGCGCGGCTACCTTCCCAGCGATAGAGTGATGGTGGCTGCGTCGGGAGCAGGCGTGTCTCTCCTCTGTAGTGTATTCTTACTTGAAAATTTATATCGTTACTTTTTTGCAGATAAATATTCAAGAACCTTTACTGCTGCCTTTCCTAAGTGTTGAGGCTTATTATTCCCCATAAGATATGCTGTTTCTTCACCTGTAACTTGTTTTTATCTCCCTTTGTGTCTTTTATACATATTTGTGTGGAGCAGATGGCATATATCCTGTACATATTCCTTATTTCCCTTTATCGCTTGTAAAACCAAACTGAAAACTGTTGTTTTCAAGCGTCTTACTAGTCAGCCCACTTGATTTTGCTCATTTTATTTTTTCAAAGTTGTATACTGAAGATAATTTTTCTGTTAATTTTTTGGGGGAGACTGAAAATTGGACTCATAGCCTCTTGTATGCTAAGCAGGTGCTATCACTGAACTACTCCCCTCTCATCCCCTGTTTTTTTGTTTTGTTTTGTTTTGTTTTCTTTTGGAGACAGGGTTTTTGCTATGTAGTTCAGGCTGGCTTTGAACTTACCATGTAGCCCAGGCTGGTTAAAACTTGTAATAATCTTTCTGCCTCAGCCTCCTGAATGCTGAGGTTGCAGGTGTGCACTGTCATGCCTGTCTGTCCCGCACTTATTAATCCATTTTTGCTTATGTAGCTTTTAAATTTTTCTTTTTTCTTGGTACATTTTAGGGATAAAGTACAGTTACTTTCATTGGTAGGATCTTGTACCTCTACATGACAGGTCTTGGTTCTCATTTTTTCCCCTTGTCCCTGCCCTCCCTTCACCCCTCCTCCCCTTCCTCATTTACAAACACTTTATTTCCATCTTTTCATTTTCTCACATTTTTTATTTTCCCTTATTACCCTTCCCCTACCCATCCCACCTTCCCTACACCTTTAGACCTTTTCTTCCCATTTCACAATGTCAGTCATCTCATTAGGATCTTATGTACTATTACAGTTTATTCACACCAGATAAACTATTCTGTATTTACACATGTGTGACTTATTTATTTCACTTACTTATTGAGTATATCCTCAATATGTATCCATTTTCCTATGAATGACCCTAATTTCTTGTTCTTAATGGCTGAGAAATATTCCATTTTATAGAAAAACCACATCTTCTTTATCCAGTTTCCAACTGATGGGCAAATGAGCTGTTTCCAAGTTTTAGCCGTTACAAACTGTGCTGCTATAAACATGGGTGCGCATACATCACAGTGATATGATTCTTTTAGTTCTTTTGGAAAGATACCCAGCAGAGGGATGGCTGGGTCAAATGGGACCTGTAGTCCCAGCTCTTTGAGGTATCTCCATATTGATTTCCACAATGGTTGCAACAGTGTCCACTTCCACCAACAATGGAGAAGGGTACCTTTCTCCCCACAGCCCTGCCAACATTTGTTATTGTTTGATTTCTTGATAGCAGCCATTCTTTGTTGGGTGAAGTGGAATCTCAGTGTTGTTTTCATCTGCATCTCTTGAATGACCAGAGATGTGGAACATTTTTCATATATTTACTTGCTGCTTTTATTTCTTTGAGAAGTGTCTGTTCATTTTGGATGCCTGTTTTTGAATTGGGTCTTTATATTTGGGGGGGCTGATTGTTTTGAGTTCTTTATATATTCTAGATAGTAGTCCTTTGTCTGAGGGGCAGCTGGTAAAAATTTTTTCCCACATTGTAGGTTGTCTCTTAGTTCTGTTGATGGTTTCTTTTGCAGTGCAGAAGCATTTAATAAGATGAGATCCCAGTTGTTGATTCTTTCTGCTAATTCCTGTGCTACTGAGGATTTGTTCATAAAATCTTTTCCTATGCCAATGTCTTCCAGAGTTCTGCCTAACTTATCTTCCTGTAAGTTTAGTGTTTCTGTTTTAATATTTAGATCTTTGATCCATTTGGATTTTAATTTAGTGCATGCTGAAAGATATGGGTCCAATTTTAATCTTTGGCAGGTTGAAATCCAGTTTTTCCAACACCATTTATTCAAGGGGCTATCTTTCCTCCACCGAGGATAGTCAGCTCCTTTGTGAAAAATGAGGTAGCTGAGTACATCTGGAATTGTTTTTGTGTCTCCCAGTCTGTTTCACTGATCCTCAGGTCTGTTTCTTTGCCAGTACCATGCTGTTTTTATCACAGTGGCTTTGTAGTGTAGTTTCAAATTGGGAGTTGTTATACCCACTGCCATGTGTCTCTTGCCTAGGATGGCTTTTGCTGTTCTAGGTCTCTTATGGTTCCAAATGAATTTTTGGATTCTTTTTTCTAGTTCTGTGAAATATAGTGTTGGAATTTCAATTGGCATTGCATTGAATCTGTATAGCAGTTTTGGTAGTACGGCCATTTTCACTGTGTTGATTCTTCCTACCCAGGAGCAGGGGATATCTTTCCATTTTTTTTATATCCTCTTCAATCTCTTTTTTCATAGTGCTGTAGTTTTCAGTGTAGATGTCTTTTGCTTCTTTTGTTAGATTGTTTCCTAGCTACTTCATTTTTTTGGATGCTATTGTAAAGGGTATTGTTTCCCTAATTTCTCTCTCAGTGAGTCTGTTATTTGTGTACAAGAAGGCTGTTGATTTTGGGGTGTTCACCTTGTATCCAGCTACTCTACTGAATCTGTCGATTAAGTCTAGAAGTCTTTTGGTAGAGTTTTTTGGGTCTTCAATGTAGAGTATCTTATCATCAGCAAATAATGACAGTTTAACTTATTCTTCCTTTCCTGTCTTTAGTGCTTTAATTTCTTTCTCTTGTGCAATTGCTGTGGCTAATGTTTCCAGAACTATATCGAAGAGTAGTGGTGATAGTGGGCATCCTTGTCTTGTTCCTGATTTTAACATGAAACTTTTCAGTTTTGGCCATTTAATATGATGTTAGCTGTTGATTTTTCATAGATAGCCTTTATTAAGTTAAGATAGAGAGCAAGAAAAACCAAAAGCTCAAACAAGAGAGGAAATTATCAAGATTAGAGCAGAAATCAATGCAATGGAAACTAAGAAAACAATACAAAAAATAAATTAAACAAAGAATTAGTTTTTTGAAAGAATAAATAAAATTGATAAACCCTTAGTTAATCTTATCAAAAAAATGAAAGAAAAGGCTCAGATCCATGCAATCAGGAATAAAAAAGTTGAAGTCTCAACAGATCCACCAGAAATCCAGAGGATCATTAATACCTATTTTGAGAACCTATACTTTAAAAAATTGGAAAACACAGAAGAAATGGATAGACTTTTAGATACTTATGAATTACCAAAGCTGAACAAAGAAGATAAAAACATTTTAAACACCCAATTACAGTCAGTGAAATTGAAAATGTAATTAAAAATTTACCAACAAAGAAAAGCCCAGGTCTTGATGGATTCACTGCTAAATTTTACAAGACATTTAGAGAAGAATTACTGCCTTTACTCTCCAAACTTTTCAATGAAATTGAAAGGGAAGCCTTAACTTCCGAATTCATTCCTGGAAGCAAATATCACTTTGATTCCCAAACCAGGGAAAGACACAACTAAAAAAGAGAACTCTAGGCCAATCTCCTTAATGAATATAGATGCAAAAATCCTTAATAAGATACTAGCAAACAGAATACAGAGGATCATCAAGAAGATCATACATCCTGACCAAGTCGGATTTATTTCAGGGATGCAAGGATGGTTCAACATACGTAGGTCAATAAATGTAATACACTATATTAACAGAGTCAAGGACAAAAACCATATGATCCTCTCGATAGATGCAGAAAAAGTATTTGACAAAATTCAACACCCATTCATGATAAAAACTCTGCAAAAAATTGGAATAGATGGTCTCTATCTCAACTTAAATTTTTCTTAGAAAGGTTTTCTCCTTAATCTGTGTCACATTTATATTATAAAGGAGCAGAAGCTTTGATTGTCCTTATTCCTTTATTACTCCCTTCCTGCACACTGCAAATAATAAATGCCCACTGATTGATGCATCACACACTTAATGTGGTTTCTTATCCTGGCTAAGTTGCTGACAGAAATAAGTTAAAATTTTGACCCATATTTTATTTGTGCCCAAGTTGACTTAAAATGTTCAATGTTAGTAGTAGAAACGTCATTGAGACTAGACTTTGACATTTGATTTAGGTTAGTTGCTCCAGATCTTTGAGGGGTGTTATTGTTATAGTTTATAGTTGATAGGATTAAGTAAAGTAAGGTGGGAAGTGCTATCTTTTTGTATACCTAGAAAGAAATTCAAATTAGTCTTAGCTTGTGACTCTCAAAATGGTCTTACCAAGAAGAGAAGAAAAAAATGAAATCGATAGGATCAGGCCTACTAGGGCAGTGACTATTATGCAGAACCTCTTACCAGCCATGCAATTGCAAAGCAGCGTCAGAAATGACATAGTAGATTTGTATTCAAAACAATTTCTGTTGGAAGCAAGGTGGTTTCAATTTTTAAAACTCAAATGGAAGTATATAAATATTTTGCATACCCCAAATAATCCAATTGATTTTAATATTTTTCATTTTATATAGCATTTTCTCAGTAGTTTTCATGTTGTACTGTATTACTAGAGTGGACCAGTAATAAAATTGTGTTAGTAGAAGGAGTAGTAGTTCTTGACTAAATTATTTTCACTGTTTTATTTTGTAATATGGACTAAAACATTCAGCAGGAAACAGTGCTGCTCCAAAGGTTGAATATTGGGAGTAATTAAATGCATTGGGAAAATAAATAAATTAATTGTTAAATTGATTTTTCAGAACTTGACAGAAAAATTGCTGAAGAAAGAACTGGATTATACCCAGTTAGAGGAAAAGCATAATGAAGAGTCTGTGAGTAAGAAGAATATACAAGCAAGCCTTCATCAAAAAGACCTCGATTGTCAGCAGCTGCAGTCAAGGTTGTCTGCATCAGAAACCTTTGTGCAGAGGATACAGGCAGAACTAAGTGAAAAGGGAGAGGCTGCACAAAAGCTCAAAGAAGAGTTATCTGAAGTGGAGACCAAACACCAGCATCTCAAGGCAGAGTTTAAGCAACTACAACAACAGAGAGAAGAAAAGGAGCAGCATGGGTTACAGCTCCAAAGCGAGATTAATCAAGTGAGAGATGTTCCTTTTACTCATTGCAGTTCTGCCTCTGTTTTCTTAAGAGTGCTTGGATGGTTGTTTGATCCTAATACAGTTCATGTTTTTAAAAAGCTATAATTTTAAAATTAACTCTAAATTTTTGCATCCTATAAGTTTTGTCTGATCTCATTTCCTTTAATTTTAAGGTTTCTTAAGAAAATTCATAGTTATCAGTCTTACTATTTTGAAACATTTATAGACTAAACCATAAAAATTGCTTAGCAATAGACCTGGTGACACTATGGAGACTGAGGCAGCCTCCTGCCTCACAGTCTCAAGACTGTGTCCAGAACCAAACCAAAACAACCCCCCCCATAACACTGCCTATCTAGGGCAATGGATCTCTCTCTCTCTCTCTCTCTCTCTCTCTCTCTCTCTCTCTCTCTCTCTCTCTCTCTCTCTCTCTCTCTCTCTCTCTCTCTCTCTCTCTCTCTCTCTCTCTCTCTGTCTCTCTCTGTCTCACACACACACACACACACACACACACACTGCTTAGAATGATACTTGGCACATGGTACATATTTACTAGATTTTACTTACTATATTTAATTCAACTGTTGACCAATCTTATTTTAGGAATTCTTAATGTTTTTCTTTTTTGTTACCAACTTTTACAGTTGTAATTATTTTAAGGTCAGATATTTTAAAAGTAGAAAAAAGTCCTAACAAAACTTTTTAATAGGTGAATAATATCTATCAGATGATGCTTTATGGGATTTTGTTTTGCCATTCATTTAATTTTTAAAAGTTTTCTTTAATTATTGTTTATAGATAACTTTAAAATTTAGTTGAAAATGGAAATTTGGTGGTGATTTAAATTCTCAGCCATTTTTAGTGTAATATTTAAGTGTCAGTGATTATTTTATCACAATTAGTTTTATGACTTTTTACTTTAAATGTTAATGATACTGATTATGAGAGTAATTTATTGAGCTTTAATCATTTAATGTTTCAGCAATTACAGTAAATACTTCAAATGTATTGACATTAATTTTTGAAGTTAGAATATGAGCTCTTTTTTTTTGTGCTGGGGATTGAGCAGTGGTAGTGATTTCACACTGAGCTATATTCCCAACCCTTTGTATTTTATTTATTTGTTTATTTTTGCACCAGGGTGACCCACTGGATCACTAAATTGCCCAGGCTTGGCTCAGGGTGGTCTTAGGGTGGTCTTGAACCTCCTGCCTCAGCCTCCTCGCCTGATGGGATTACAGACATGCCCCCTACTCCTGGCTTAGATGATGAGTTCTGTGAGACCCTGGATCAGAAGAGTTGGGGATAATTGCTGAACTTTATCTTCTCTATTTTCATTGCCCCATCATTTCAATTTCACGTTTAGGTCACTTTAACACACTGACTGATCCCTCTGCCTTTGATTCACCCCACCGGAGTGATCTTCATGTAGCCACAGAGTAACATCATAAAAGCAGATTTTGCTACGACAGGTCTGCGGCCCAGCCCTGCTTTGCTCCCTAGTGGTTCTTTATGGCATGCGGAGCCCCGGGGTCTTGTTGGCCTTCCTCTTCAGTTCTTTGCCATTCTTTATTTGCCACTGCAAGACTAAGGAACTGTTCTTGGTTCTTTTCCTGTGTGTTGCATGCTATTTTACTTTTGTGGTATAGTTCTTGCCCTCAGATATTCTTCCTGTTTTCTCTTCACCTTGATAACTACTTACATCTCTTATCATTTTTTAGAAATCCTTCATAACACTACCATTGCTCCTTCTGCCCCTAAAGACTCTGAACTCATCGGATGCAAATACTTTATTTTTAAGTTTTTTTATCCTTAATTTTTGGGACATTCCTTATTAAACAGCACATGTAAGTGAATGAATCATTAAAGGCATTGTAATGGAAGGAAGTTGAGGCTTGGGAATATCACTGATGAACCTGAAAATAGCATGCATTTGTCTTCTGTACTTTCTAAATTTAGCATATACACTAAAAGACACAATGCCTCATTTATTCAGGGATACAGAGATGAATGGGAAGCAGTATCTTCCTTTAATGATTCTGTAAATCATGGAGAGGATAAAGCATGCATTATCTTATACCCATGCTCAGGAGATTTATAACAAAATGATCTCAGGTACTATGGGAATTCAGAAGAGTTTCTTTCCTCTGCTTTTTTTTTTTTAATTCCGCCACAGCACTGTGCTTCACCTTAATTCAATTATTTTATCCAATTATGTGATCTGGAAAAGGCATGTGTGAGAGATGTGTTGCTTGAAATTGTGAATACTGGTCAGATTTTGACAAGTGTCAGTTTGAAAGCAGGAAGAGTCTTTGAGCTGAAAGGATTAATGAGAACAAACTAATGGCAGGAGATGTTATAAAAACCTTGAGGAGCACTGATTTTTTTTCTTAGGATAGGGTATATGTGATAGAAGTAGACTATTGTAATTGGCAAAAGCATATGAGAATATATTTCGTAGGGTATTTAATATCATCGTAGGCCTGGGAATTTGGGCTTCACTTGGTTGTCAGTGGGTAGAAGAGCATTAAGAATTTTTGAGAACCTATTTAATCAAATACTAAGACTTGAATATACAATTAATTTGGTTTAGTTACAGCTTTATGCAAAATAAAGAGAACATGCATAAGACCTTAAAGTGATACCAGTTCATCTTTTTCAGTGTGTTGTTTGGATTCTATCTTCAAAATATGTCTCACCTCTGTTCACTTCTCTTCATTTGTACTGCCAGTGCTCTTCATCTAAGCCACCATCATTGATCAACTGTGTTAGTCTGCTTATTAGTCTTCTAGAGACCTCCATAGTTCATTTTCTATATAGAAGCCAGAGACTTCTTTTAAAAGTATGAAATATTTTACTTGAATTCCCTGCTCAACATTCTAACCAGCTCATGTTTGGACTGAATTACTGTGGCATGTATGCACTGTGAAGCTGTGCTGATCTCTTTTTAGTTCTTCAAACTGTGCTGGAGTGCACTTAGTATAGCCTGGCTAAACGTCCTGTGTCCTCAGCTCCTTGCCAGTCTTTTACCCTTCATTCCCAGCGTTGGTACAGGTATTCTTCTGAGGTGAATACAGACTGCTTTTGTTTTTGTAAGACTTCCAGAAAAAGCTGTTATTTCTGGTGGTATTAGGGAAAATACTGAGAGAAAATGATGGCTCTTAGCTGCATGACACATTTCTCCTTTACTTTCAACAGGATGGCATTTGGTTGGGGGAAGGGGGTTCTAGGACTTGAACCAGGGCCTTGCATGTGATAGGCAAGTGTTCTGCCACTGCACTATACCCCATTCCTGGGGGCATCTTTAAAGTTTTTTTTTTTTGTTGTTGTTGTTTGTTTGTTTTGGACTTACGATCGAACTTAGGACCTTGTACTTGCAAGGCGGTCATGGCACCACTGAACTTAATCCCAGGCCCTGGTCTCTTTAAAGTTAGTAAGGGTTACCTAGCATTTATTTTTTTTTCTTTTTATTGAGTTTATTGGTACAATCTAGGTATACAATACAGTTACATTCATTACTGGGATCCTGTACCTTCACATGATTTCCATTTTCATTTTCTCCTATTTTTTTTCTTTTCCCTTGTTCCCTTTCCCCTACCCTTCCCACTTTCCCTACACCTTTAGCCCTTTTCTTCCTATTTCACAGTATTAGTTATCCCATTAGGATCTTGTGTACTGTCATAGTTTTCACACCAGAGAGACTATTCGGTATTTACACATGTGTGACTTATTTATTTCACTTTAAGAGTATATCCTCAATATGTATCCATTTTCCTATGAATGACTCTAATTTCTCATTCTTTATGGCTGAGTAGTATTCCATTTTATAGAAAAAACACATCTTCTTTATCCAGTTTCCAACACTACACTTTTTTTTTCAGCTTTAATTGAGTTTATTGTACATTTTAGGGATACAGTACATTTACATTCATTGTTGGGATCTTGTACCTCTACATGACAAGTCTTTGTTCTCAATCTTGGTTCTCATTTTTTCCCCTTACCCCTGCCCTCCCTTCACCCCCTCCTTGCCTCCCCATCTACAAACACTTTATTTCCATCTTTTCATTATCTCACATTTTTTTCTTTTCCCTTTTTGCCCTTCCCCTACCCGTCCCATCTTCCCTACACCTTTAGCTCCTTTCTGCCCATTTCTCAATGTCAGTAATCTTATTAGGATCTTCTGTATTATTGCAGATTATTACCTAGCATTTATTTTGAAAAATTATACTCTTCTCTATTTTATTTAGAAGTTATAGGTCAATTTGAGTATTTGAAATCTGTACAATACTCAAATATAAGAAGTCAATTATAATGGTTTTTAACCTATGGAAAACCAAAAAGAATCATGGTTAATCTTTAAAAAATATGGTGAAATAGCTCTGAGTATATTCTGAATATCTTAAATTTTAAGTTTTATTAAGTTCCTCAAGTGAGTCCAACATTTATATACAAACAGCCTGGTCCCTTTTATGTTTTTAAACCAATAAAATTAATAAAATCTGTCATACTTAGTCATAATGTTATGTGGTTAATTATAATCTATATGTGCTGTGAAAGCAAGCACATGATTAATTATAATTTGTGATTAAAATTTACTTATTTTTTATCTGACATAAATTTATCAAAAGGGCAGTATCCATAATGTATACATAGTCAACATAAGCCATAAGACAAATACCAATATATGATTTATTCAAGTTTATGTATTTTGTTTTTTTATGATTAAAATTTAATTGCTATTTAAATTATTATACAAGATTCTTGATGTCTCCAAAGTATCATGAACATTAAGATAGTATACTTATATTGCTGAAAAAGTAAGTATTTTTTTGCGAAGTACTTTGTGTGTTTACACACATGTACATAAATGTGCATATTTTTATTTACCTTTTAAGTTACATAGCAAACTTCTGGAGACTGAACGCCAGCTAGGGGAAGCTCACGGTCGACTTAAGGAGCAGAGACAGCTTTCAAGTGAAAAATTGATGGATAAAGAACAACAAGTAGCTGACTTACAACTCAAACTTTCTCGTTTGGAAGAACAGGTAAGCTGGCTTTTCAGATGGGTTGATATTAGCAGGTTTATTAACAGCTTGAGATGCCTTAACTGTGGTTTATGATGTAGAATCTTTTAATTGTCAAGATGTTAATTGGACTTTTTGTACTTTAAATTACAATATTTATTTCTCTTCAGTAAAAAATCCTACTTACTAAGGGCATTAAGTCACTACATTTTATTGTGATTATATTCAGTAAAGTTCTCCAAAAAAAAAAAAAAATGCAGGAAGGGGACTATTTTCACATTGCTAGGAGAAGTTACACAGTTGACTGTTAGGCTGCTGGAGTCTTTTCAGCTAGGAGGGGCCACTTACTGATGCACAGTGACCAGTGATCAGCTGGTGAGGATTGTGGATGATGCAGTTGTGCATAGAAATTTAGAGTTTGCATCTAAAGATTTTTCACTTTTAAAAATTAAACATGTGATTGATAGAATGCTGTCAGAATTAAAGTTGTTGCTCTTACTTAAAGTAAAAATTATTAAAAGATGTGTTTTATTTGAATTGAACAAATATTCAGGCTTAAAATCTGTAGCTTCAGCAATAGATTTTCTTTTAGAACTAATTGTAGATTTTTGTTACAAATAAGTTGTATGTAATTAATTGTTTGGTCATCTTAATATAAAAATACAATAATGAACTAAATGCCAGCCTAGAAAAAGATTTGCATTCTTTCAGGATAAGTCTTTTTGTTAGAGAATAGTTGCTTTATCATGAGATTAACATTGTACAAGTAATGAGGTGCTATTTTTTCTTTTTAAGTTTAAGGAAAAAGTAACGAATTCTACAGAGTTGCAGTATCAATTAGATAAAACAAAACAACAGCATCAAGAACAACAAGCTCTTCAACAAAGTACTACAGCCAAACTACGAGAAGCTCAGGTAAATGTTTGAATAATTAACCTTGTATGTGAAAATTAAACCAAATCATTCTAATCTGATGGAATGAGATAGATAATGTAAAGTAATTGATTATAAAGAGTTTTGATAATTTTCAATGTCTGGTTAATAAGAAATTCTTTTACTATGGTGAAGAGTTAAAATAGATTAAAATATTACTTGTTATAAAAATTTCTTAATTTTAAACAAAATTTATGTAAAATGTTAAATTTTGTCAACAACTTTATTAAATATAATTTCTCTGTTAAATATATCTAGTTAAAATTTTATTTAAATTACTAATAAGTAATTACTTATTTGTTACTTAACTAAAATATCTTATTTGAAAAACTAAAAAATATTCACATAAAATTTCCTGGTTTATTTATCCCAGTAAAAAAAAAGAATATTTTTTATTTCCAATGGTAGTAGTATTTTTTGGTCATGTCCTTTTCTTCTTAACCATTATCTGAACATTGAAATATCAAGTATAGAAAATATAATTGGTTGAGTTAGATTTATATAGGTTCTTCAGTATGTTTTAGAAGATTGAAGGAAGTTTAGTTTTTTTTGTTTTGTTATGGTGACGGCAGGCTACCGAAATATTTGAAGTAAATTTGACTTTGATATGCACTTATTCCTTCATTCTTGGTCAGCTCATTGAGTATTATTGAGCACTGTGTGTCAGACACTGTGCTTAGCACTGATAATCAGAGGCAAGAGTGCCTGTCCTTATGGAATCGCAGCCTAATAAGGTGTACAGAGCTAATCCTGGAGTTGGAGGGAAGTGGCAAGTAATCCCAGCAATAAGTAATGGTCGTTTTTGAGTTTGGAGTGTACCATGGGAATCAGACAAATAGAAATAAAAATACTGGATTTATTTATCTGTTCTTTTATTCAATCAGCAAGTATTTATGTCTAATCTCAGCTGAAGAAATGATTTTGTGACTATAGCAGCAAATAGAACAAACTGTAGAATATGCTCTCTGGAAGCATAGTGAGAGGCAAACAATAACCAAGGTAAATAAATACATCTGTGTTAAATGGTGACAAGCGCTATAGAGATGGGAGTGGGAAGTATGAAAGGGGCTGAAAGTTGGACAACAGTGCTAGGTAGGTTTGCCAGGGAAAGCCTCTCTGAGAAGATGAAAGACTTGAAGGAAGGGAGAGCATGAATTGTGTGGATGCAGAGTGAGCATTGGTAGTGCCTTAAAGGTCTGGAGGCTGGAGGGATTGAGAGAATCACAGGAAGTCAGTGCCTGCAGCAGTGCAAGTAGTAAGAATTAAAAACATTACAGTTATTGAAATCACAGAGGTCAGGACATGTAGGATTTCATAGGTAATCTGAAGGATATATTGTACTTTTTTTTTTTTTAAGCAAGATGAGAGAAGTCATGCAAAGATCCAAGCAAAGCAGTGGCGTGATCTGACTCACAGTTTCACAGAATTACTCCAGCTGCATTATTGAGCGTAGCCTGTATGGGGACATGAGTTGTAGCAGAGAAAAGAACAGATTACTGCATATTCCAAGTAAAGACTAACATGGCTTGGACTTCAGTGAAAACAGTGCAGGTAGTGAGAAGTGGACAGATTTTAGATATATTTTAAAGGTGGAGCCGACGGGTGTGCTGTGCTGATAGATGGATGTAGACTATCAAAAGACCCATCAAGGGTGACTGCAGGGGTGTGAGCCTGGACTATCAGAAGGATGGTGGTCAAGCAAGATGAAAGGGGAGAATCCCATTGGATTTGGTAGCATGGAGGTCTTTGATGATGCTGATAAGAGTAATTTGAATAGAGAAGTGGGATGAAAGCCTGTTTGGACAGGGTTCAAAGAGAATGGGAAGAGGAAGCTTGATAAAATGTAGTTAACTCTGGGATTTTTACTATAAATGGTAGGAAATAAATTGGGTAGTGATGCAAGCATAAAGAATTTGGCATAGCTCAGCAACCAAATAGGATTCCTTATACTATATTCCAAAATTAAATTATTTATAGATAAAGCTGGAAATAGCATCATTTCACCTTCCTATAGCAGGTTGTCGCTCCAACTGAGTGGGGAGCAAGGGACTCATTTGAGCATGCGTAGTTCCTCATTCTTCACCTACTAATATTCAATTTTGTTTGTGTGGTATTGGAGATTGAACCCAGGCCCTTTGCACTGGGCTTCATCCCTAGCCCTTTTTAACTGATCAGAGAGAGGTAGTGAGTATAGTTTTAGTGCACATAAAATAGTATGTGTATGTATAGTGCAGAATATAGTATATGCACATGAAATTATGGTCACACAGGTGGTAGTTACCTAACCTACACAGTGGAACTCTCTCAGAAGTGACAGGCTGAGCCACTGACTGGAAAGCTGGGAGTACAAAGATGGTGACAGTGAGAAGTATATGCCAAGTAGAAGTTGCAAGGGTAACAACAGTGAAACTAGTGTGAATTAAACTATTAGGTTTTGTTGGAATTAAAATACACAAGAATTAACTTCATGTGGATGTATGATGAGGATGATGAAAAATATCCATTAGATAAACCAACATAAATTGGTAACTTTGTTCAAAATTTTAATAAAGTTATGTGTGTGAAAATCTGATTTTTGATGAGTAAGTGAGAAATGAGGGAGTTGGGAAAGTAAGTCTAAATTACTTTTGGAATTTAAATCTGAGTTGTATAAAAACAGGGCAGAAACTGAAAGGAGTATTTTTGAGAAAAAGAGATTCAAATGTGTTTCTAGCCTAGGACAAAAAGGCTGGTAAAGAGAAGGTTATTCTCACATGGGAAGAAGTGACTCGGGCAATTTGATAATAAGCTGGGATATTACTCACATAACAGGTGGTGTGAACTTGAACTTCATTCAAGCTTGAGCAGAGGAGATAAATATGGAGACACATACATGTATGATTAGATAGGTAAAGGAATGGAAAATCCAAAGTACATTGTTCCTGAAAATTGTATGCTTCAGGATAAAGTTGGAGATAGTAAAAGCTGAGTAAAAATTAAGAACTTGGAGAGAATATTACATTTTTTTAAGTAGATATTAAGGATAATGCTTGGGGGTGAGAGGGCCTCATTCGAATGAATGGATTGAAAAGATTCTAAGTACATATGAGAGGCTGGAATCAGAAATGTATAGTGGCACAAACTGATGAAGGTTTTTGCTTTTATTCTAATAGTGCCTACAATATAGGAATAGAGACAATGCATTGCATCCCTGATCTAGAATTGTGCTTTTAAGGGCTGCCTTAGAAATTTTGAGGTAAATGTAAATGGAGAATGTGATTAGAAGAATATTTAAGTTTAGATCATATCCATTTATGAGGTTTAGGAAGAAAAGCTACGTATAGTGAATAAGTTGGAAGGAAATTGAGGTCTGTGATATGGAAGTTGAGGTCATAAAATTGGAAGTTACTGAGGAAGTTGTGGTCACAGAGTAAGACAGTTGGAATTTTTTAGCTCAAACAATTTCAGGTTATTATAAGATCTAATATGTGAGTTACTACAATGTGGAATGAATTAAAGTCCAGGAATTAAGATGATATGCATGCTGAGGCTGTGCTCTTAATTCTGTATGTATTTTGTATTTCCCAGGAAATTGGCAGAAATTGGGATTGAGAGAAAAACTAAATCAGGTCTCAAGTCTTCAGTGAATGAGGTAGGGTTTTATAGATGATAGCAGTAAAGACAGAGGGTAGATTAAGTAGGAACAGCATACTTCCCAAAGCAGCACTCTTTCTTGAAGGTGAGAGGAGAATCCAGAAGGCCCACCTCCTATGTTTGTCCAGTGGAATAAGGCTTCCTGAATAGAGAGAGTGAGGGGGATTTGTAATCTTAAAGGGAAAACCAAATTCCAGTTAACACTTGGAAACAGTAACTCTTCTGGGAGAAAAGCTTCTGCCTAGAACTCTAATTTGAGAAGACTGGTGGAATGTGGAGAGAGGGTTGTTGGTGGCAGAAAAAGAAGCCGAGAGCAGGGAGGTTTGGTTGCCTTTCATCATCTCATGACTGATGCTTAGAGGGATGAGAAGCAGTTTTGAAAGTGACTGATCTGTAAATATTTCAGTACTGCACAAATCATTGAGGGAATGAGGTGGCTACTGGTTCTGTCTCAGCAAGGTGGTGTGGGCTGCTATAAAGGTTACAGAGGGACTGCCACGGGCCTTGTTCTGGGTAGACACTCTCCTCCAAAGATGGAGGGGGAAGCAGGGTATATGGGATCAGATAGCTGGAGAAAGTGGGTCTTGTTCTGGATGTGGGCTATTGCATTGTGCTCTATATAACATTAAGATCCTGGGTAAAATGAGAGGGAGGGGCTGGGGATATAGCTCAGTGGTGCTGTGCCTGCCTAGCAAGCGCAAGGTCCTGAATTTGATCCCTGGTACCACACACACACACACAAAGATGAAGTCTTTATTTATTGATAAAAGAATCCTAGTGGGATATTAAGTGAGCCTGCAAAAGTATATGTGTTACAGTGCAATCATTTTTTAAATCGATGGATATTTTAGAACATGTATCAGATATCTGAAATCAATGAATACAAGAGATGAAAGCCCTCACCTTTGTGCAGCATACATTCTAATGGGAAGTGGAGGGAGGTAGATATGAAGAATAAATACATTACTTACTGTCTTAGAGATAAGTAAAAGAAAAAAGCAGCCAGGACTTGGAATATTGGGAAGGGCTGTAGGTTTGAAAGGCCTGACTGAGAAGGTGACATAAGCAGACACAAAGGACAGAGAGAAGTACATGACAGGAGGGAAGCCTTTCAGGCAAAAGGGTTCTTGATGTGAGGCTCTGCAGTGGCAGTGTGCTTGGTGTGATGGGGAGAAGTAATGAGTTCTGTGTGTCTGAAATGGAACAGAAGAGTAGAAGGAGGTGAGGAGAGAGTGTCAGGAAAAAAAAGCTCTTAATTATAGGTTTTTGTGGTTGTTAAAGTCTTATTAATAATACAGATTTATTTTATCAAATATATAGTTCTAATTAAATTTGCCATGTTAAACTGTAACAATTAGTTCTAAAACTATAAGACTAAAAGGTTGAGTGATAAAATACATTATCAGTCATTTTATATTTAAGGAATACCTTTGTTAAGTTTTTTGTTCTTAAAATAGGAGTTTTCAATTCTTTACAGAATGATTTGGAACAAGTCCTACGTCAAATTGGTGATAAGGACCAAAAGATCCAGAACCTTGAAGCATTATTACAGAAGAGTAAAGAAAGCATTTCATTACTAGAAAAAGAAAGAGAGGATCTTTATGCAAAAATCCAGGCTGGTGAAGGAGAGACTGCTGTTCTTAACCAGTTGCAAGAAAAAAATCATACACTACAGGAGCAAGTAAGCTTGTAAAGTGTACTGTAGTCTTAAAATTTACTTTTATCTCTGAATCTTATTAAATACTTTATTTAACTCATTCATCATCCTGACTTTTTAGTATTTTTGAATGTTACTTTTCTTTTTTTTTTTTTTTTTGTTTTTTTTTTTTTTTTGTTTTTTTTTTTTTTTTGTTTTTTTTTTTTTTTTGTTTTTTTTTTTTTTTTGTTTTTTTTTTTTTTTTGTTTTTTTTTTTTTTTTGGTACCAGGGATTGAACTTGGGTCCTTGTGCTTGCAAGGCAGGCCACCGAACCACTGAGCTAAATCCCCTGCCCTAATGTTACATATTTTTGACAGATATCATCTTACTTATCTTTGAGGTTGGGCCAGTACTTTAGTGAAATGTAGTTACTATGATTTGACAATTGAAACCCTCAGTTCATATACCAGGATATAACTTACTACCTATGGTACTATGGGTAAATCATTTCACCTTGCTAGCTCATTGGAAAAATAGAGATGTTATTAGTAATGTTACTTGCCTCATGAAATTTTGTGATATTTTTAAAAGGAGTGAATAACAAAATATATTAATAAGACAAAGATACTGATTCTTAGTTGATTTTGTGTATTGGTTGATATTCAAACTTATGGTTATATATATTTTGATAATGTATGTCTTTAAGCAAAATGTAGTTAATAAGTTTGATAAGTTGCTTTATTGTTCAAAAATTCATATGTAGTTTAAGAGAAACATAAAATTTAGATTAGTATTTTTTCAAACTGAAAGTAATAATTTATAGTTACTTTCTGTAAGAGTTATCTAGTAAGATAATTATTGTTATCTAAATAAGCACATATTTAGAACAAAGTATCAGTATATCATATCACATTTTTGGTAATTATGTATAACATAGTTTTCTCCATATATCCAAGTTAGTTTTGGAATTCCTTTGGAATGTCTTAGTGTTTATGAGGACTTTTTTAGGTCAGCTACAACTTGAAATAGCTTATGATCAGGAAAGCAAGTTATGCATATTTTATATAGAATAAATTAAAATAAACCTACATACTGCTTGGTTCTGATCATGTTGGTGTAACTGGTATTTAGCCCTTCTGCCATAAAAAACTAGTAAAGTGGAAAAAAAAAATCCATAAAACCACTATTGTCAGCCGTTGGACCAGAGGCAGTGCAGGATTATGATTCCTAAGAGAAGAGAAATCAGGAAGGTGAAACCTTTGACTGCTAACTTTTGACCTAGAGACTTTCTTTCAGACCAGTATAGGTTGGGAGAATCCTAGAAAAGCAGTGATCTCATTGAACTAAGGAATGAGAAGTTAATTAAACTGAGATACTGAAGGTCAAGAAGATTTAGGCAATACAAATTTGCGGGGCAGGATAACTGACAAAGAGTGAAGAGAAAAAGCTCTGGACATCTGCATGCCAGCCCACAAAAGGCTTTGGTGGAATGATCAATTTTGTGCTTTTAAAATGAGATTCTACAAAATCAGGCAGTGAACAGTATCAGGAGCTGCAGACTGGAGCTCACACATGGCGGGGAAATATTCAGGTGCCAGCCAATTAGGGAGAATAACATAGTTGAACACTTAGGGCATTCAGTAGAAACACTAGAAATGTCACACCTTAGAAGAGGACTAAGGCTAAACTAGCCCCAGAGTGAAAGCTGTTAAACACCTGGCCTATCAGAATATAAAAACAAGCCTTGAAAGGGCCCAGCTGGGCCACAAATATAATATATTAACTATTTACTGGTACAGAACTCAGCATTTTTTGGAGGAAGACTTGTGAAATTCAGATTTGTCAGAAAAAAAAATATGTTATAATCAAGAGAAAAATCATTCAATGAAAACAGACACTGAAATGAAAGGTGATGGAATCATCAGACAGTACTTTAAAGTGCCTCTTAAAATATGCTTATGGGGGTAGAGGAAAAACTATAATAACAGACCTAGAAATGGAAGTGATAAAAAAAACTTCTAGAGATAAAAATTTGAAAACACCTGCACTAAAAGTTTTATTAGATAGCAAGTAGAAAATATATCAATTGAAACTGTCTAATGTGAAGCAAAGAGAAAATTTGGTGGGCATTAGGGAAAGAAGAGTGTTCTAGTGATCCATCGAACAATGTCAGTAGCCTATTATAATATAATGAGTATCACTGCAGGAGGAAGACGAAAATATTTGTAGAAATGATGGCCAAAAAAAATTTAAATTTGTTTAGAAGTACATATCCATAGAGTTAAAAAAATTGAATAAACTCCAAGCAAGGTACATCAAAGAAATATCTGGTTAATTAGATTTCACTTAAGTTAAAAGAATATATGTTCTTCAAAAGATACCATCATGAGCTGGGTGTGGTGGTACACTTTCTAATTCCAGCTTCTAGGGAGACTGAAGCAGGAGGATCGCAAGTTTGATCTTGCGCAACTTAAGATCTTGTCTCTAAATTTTAAAGGACTAGGCTGGGGATGTAGCTCAGTGGTAGTGGTAGAACTCTTGACTAGAGTGAACAAGGTCCTGATTTCAACCCCCAGTGCCATCAACTAAACAAAACCACCAACAACAAATAAGATACCATTAGGAAAAGAAAAGCTAAGACCTAGACTGGGAGGAAATATTTGTAATGTATCTATTTGGCCGTTTAGAAATATCTAGGATATATAAGGAACTCTGGTTCTTCAGTCAGATGACTGATTGTGTGGGCGTAGAGATGGGAGATGGGATTGACTGCAAAAGAGTTTGAGAAACTATTTGGAGGTAATGAAAATATTCTCTATCTTGATTGTGGTGATGGTTAAATGAGTGTACACCTTTATCAGATCTCAAGTTGTACAGTTAAATTTGTTGAGTTTTGTAGCAAGTAAATTATAGTTGAATACCAATCATTTTACAGTGATATATCTTTGAATTAGATGTTATATCTTATGATTTAAGATACTATGTTTAGTTACTTTTGGAAAGATTGGAATAAGTTTTACTTGAAAAAAATTGAAATAACCATCAACAAGCAGCTTCATATTCTAATGGTGCTTAAGTTTGGCTTTCTTAGTTTTGTTATACCAGTTTTGAACTTTATAATTAAACTCTTGCTTCTACAATAGGTAATTCAATTAACAGAGAAGCTGAAGAATCAGTCAGAAAGCCATAAACAAGCCCGGGAGAATTTACATGACCAGGTACAAGAGCAGAAGGCGCATCTCAGAGCTGCACAAGACCGCGTCCTTGCCCTTGAAACCAGTGTCAGTGAATTAAATAGTCAGTTAAATGAAAGCAAGGAGAAGGTCTCCCTGCTTGACATGCAGGTAATACTGAAATATACAGCGCTGATTTTAGACTGCCAAATGTTTGAATTCTTTCTTTTTGCCTTACATATTATTAGAAAAACTGACACTAGCAAACACAGATTGTCTAGATGTTGTGTTGAGCTGTCCCCCTTGTATAGGTGTTTTTTTTTTTTCTCCCTTTCTCTTTTCTCTCTCTCTCTCTGAATAAAACATATCTAGTAAACTCACTGGATCTTTTTAGCTTTCCTTTGTTTTATTCTTGTTAATTAGTTTGGTACTGTATTATACTGTTACATTTGTGTATTAAATATTTTTAATTTTTTAATATCTAAAGTGTTCTTCAAAGGTTTGATTTAAAAAATACATATGTGGTTCAATTAAGTATTTTAATTGTATTTTTTCACAAATCTGTGTACCAGTCTTGCTCAATGAGTCAGTCATGGTGTAGGAAGTAAGAAATGTTTCTTTTTCTATTTTCATCATTGATTTTTAAAAATTCTATATGATAAAATTATAGAAATATTTCTAAGCTTTTATTTTAGGTGAGTGATTCCATTGGAAATAAGAAATTTAATAAAATAATATACCTAGTACTTGTTGGAACTTGGAGACACTATACTTTTTCTTTTTAAAAATATAATTTGTTAGCTATGTTATGTGAAAACCTGATAATGTGCAGGTCCAGTTTAAGAGAGGAAAAGGAAGAGATTAAGGGAAGGGAAGAAATGGAAGGAGGGAATATGAATGAGTGGATTAAAATAATCTTTAATTATTTTTGCATTGCAAGAGCCTTTTAGAAAGATTACCTGCCACTGAAATTTGAGAACTAGTTTAATTACATTAGCCCATGTTTCTATCATTGCTTCCTTTATACCTTTACAGTTACTTCTTTGTCATTTGTCTTTGAAAAATGCTTACTGTAGGTATTTTCAGCTTTTGAGGCTCTTCCTTTTCAAAATTGCTGTAACTTTTTAAAAAGAAATTATTCTTTGAGACAAGGTCTTACTCTGTAGTTGGCCTGCCTGCTGGCTTTGAACTTTTGGTCCTCACATCTCAGCCTCCCAAATGTTGGGTTTACAGGCTTACAGGCAACACCATGCCTGCCTTGTGATACATTCATTCATATCCCTCCCTCCCCCTTTGTGACAGGGTCTCCCTATGTAACCTAGGTCTCAAATTCACCATTGCCTTTCCTCAGCTTCCTAAGTGCTGAGATCATAGACATGTGTCTCTATGCCTAACTTCTGCTTTAACTTATTTCTGAACTAGTATTACTTCTTAAAATAGGATATATGTTTTTATTTTTCTTTCAAGAATTAGGATTCTGATAAAACCTAATGCTTTACATGGTATTATTAAAAGTATTATTAAAAATATCAACCAGAACTGTTTAGCTAAAGAATATTAGTGGTGGCTTTTTAAAAAATACATTAAACAAAGGGTATTCTTTTAATTATACAAAGGTAATTTTTAAGCTGTTTCCCAGTTTTGATTTCTATAACATATTTTTGATCCCTACTTCCAAGATACTTCCTACTAAACATGATGAGGACAGCATTAAGGTAAATTATATCATGAGACTGCTCCTGGTGCTCTTGCTGTATTTTTAAGGGTTTTAATGTATATGGTGCAACAATTGTAGCATTGTAACAGTTGGCACTTAGTCTGAACTCACTGCCTGTAAAGGGACTGGGGAGTGCTTGTTATGAAGGGCCCATATTTTCCCCATCAGAAACATTTCTGAAATAGTGTAAACCAGGAGAGCTATTATGTAATCCCTCCAAATCTTATCGGTTTGGGAATCATCACATTAGTTGAAGCATATTGTATTAAAAGGTCATAAGCAATTATCATGCATTAAAATATCTCATGAATTTTTAGTTCCTCAGAAACATAAAATGCCATATTAAATGAAGCTGAACTCACAAAAATAAATTCTTCATAATCTCTGATATATATTTGTTGGTTAGTATAGATTTATTTCCTATTCTATAATGTGTAGATTTCTTTAGCTTTCACTTTTAATTCAGTGTAGATGTATGTACCTTGATACAACCATTGTTTCTGTGAAAGTTGAATATTTAGTTGAGAAATATTCAGTTTTTCTCTTTTGCCTAAAATTACCCCATACGGTGTATATTTTAGATTTTCATTGATCCTTTCTTCAGCTAGCTAAAAGATTGTCTCTCCCTTTTTTCTCAAAATGCCTTAATTTTAAATGTTTTTATATTTTTCTTTCTGCTTTATTTATTAGAAATGAGCTTTGATAGTTATTTAAGTATTTAGGTCTAGTGACACATGCCTGTAATCCCAGCACCTGACACAGCTGACACAGGAGGACAGATAGTTCAAGACCAGCTTGGGATACATAGTGAGACCCTATCAGAAAAAAAGTTACTTACAATACATAAAAGCATTAAGTATTTTTGATAGTAAAGTGAAATTCTTTATTAGATTTTATTTAAAGCTTTTTGTTGAAAGCCTTATTTTTAAATGAATAGTATCCTGACTTTTGATAAGCATCAAAAGTAAAACTTACTAGGTGAGAAGTAATCAAAGAACAGTTCTAGTTTGTCTAGGTGTTTTGAGTTCTTGGATTCTACAATTTTTGGAGCCACCACTTTCTTTGTCATAGTTATTGTCTATTGTAATATTGGTAGACTCCGTATAGTTCTTTCTGAAAAATATAGTGGCCCCTGTCAGTTAAAACAAAAGTATCACATTTCTTTCTTGACAAAGAGGGTACTATAGTGTACTGTAGTGTTGGTGTCATGTAGAAACATCTTCACTTGCTATGTAAACATTATTAGGAGTCTTTTCTTTCATAGATTCCTATTTTAGGAATTTTTTAATTATATGTTTACAGTACATAATGTTTATATTCCTTGTGTAGATTTGGTACAGGTATATAACACATCTTAACTCTTTCTTATTTTACCAAAAAGATTTAAATTTTAAATAGTTTTAGGACAAAAGCAATGTGCACTCAAACATTGGTTATGTCAACAGTTAAACATGGAAACAAATAATTTGTAAATTTCTGTTGCAGATTAAAGCCAAAACTGAATTATTGCTATCAGCAGAAGCAGCAAAAACTGCTCAAAGAGCAGATCTTCAGAATCATTTGGATACAGCTCAAAATGCTTTACAAGATAAACAGCAGGTAGAGAACTTGATACAATTTCGTATCATAACGCAGTGCTTTGGTATATAAATTAATTGTAAAAACTATACCAAGTTTTGTATAATCTTATGATAGACTTGTTTATCCTCCTTATTTTCTCCCTGAGTTCAGAACCAGTTGACCAGTAGATGCAGGAATTAGATGGAGATAAAAATACCAACTTTGTTTTTGATAAATCTCAACTGGTGTTCAGGTGTTGTTGGAATCTAACTTCCTGGTGTTTTATTTTTTCCCTAGACTAGGGTTTGATATGGAGCTGAAAAAATGACTCCTTAATTATTGTCTCATCCCATCAAGCAACAATGACGGAGGGAGAGAGAGAGAGAGAGATTGAGAGAGAGGCAGGCAGGGAGGGAGGGAGGGAGGGAGGGAGACCTGCGTACTTGTTTTTAGAGGTAGAGTGGGCCATGACCCAGATCTGTTTATCACTTGAAGCAAGAAAAGAGCAGCATGCATTCCATCTCACTTCTAATTGTTACTCTTCTTCTCTGGGGTGGGGGTAGGAGGAGTGAGGGCCAAGGGAATACATACTTTTGGTATAACAAGTTTCAAATTTAGAGTCAAGATGAAAGTGCTTGTAGATATCTTTTTATCAGGTAGGGGAATTTTTAGAATTTACTTCTTATTCAAAGAAGTAATCCTGGTTATTGGTCTGTTCTAAAAAAGCAATATAGGCATTTCAAATTAAAAAAGCAAAACAAGTTTTGTTAAAAAATATTTAACCTTAATCCTAATCTCAATTTTTTGGTGGAGTTTTTGTTATTAAATTTGGTATATACCCTTCCAAACCTCTATAAGCATTGAAAATATATATGTATGTTTATGTGTTTATGTATGTGTACAGTAATACTTCTTTATACACATGGAATCACTGTGGTTCTGCAAATTGCTGTTAATGTACGATTTTGCTAAACATACCTGGAAAGCATTTTCTAAGCATGAGATCAAATCCAGTATGATAGACAAATTATTTTTAAGAAAAATCACAAAGTTTAAAATTTATGTTAAAATATTAATAAAATTGTAACACAAGTAGCAGAAGATTCAGTATTTTCTGGAATTTGTCTGATAAAGAGTAAATGTTTGTGTCATTTAAATCAGTTTTAAATAACCAGTAAGTGAACTGGCAAGAAAACACAGGCCATTATTAATCCAAAATTCTGAAATCTGAAATGCTCCAAACTCCAAAACTTTTTAAGCATTGTCTAGATCAGTGACAGGAAACCTTTTAGAGATAGAGACTGAGTGCCCAAACTGCAACCCAAAACCCATTTATTTATCACAAAGTCCAACCTGAGTTAAACCTGAGTTTAAACCTGCAGTTAAACCTGAGTCCTGAGGTTTTAATTTAGAAAAGACAACTGTTACCTGATGTTCAGCTGCGGGGACAACTTGGCTCATACACCAACAGAGAGGGAGGGTTCTATGCGCCCGCTACAGCATGCATGCCATAGGTTTGCCACCTCTGGTCTACACAGATCTTGGATTTCCAATTACATATATTCAACCTGCCTGTGCAGATAGTCCAAAATTTGAGAAAATCTGAAACATTTCTGGTCCTGAGCATTTCTTGTAAGTTATACTTGTAAGTTATATACATGTTCAGAGCTATATTAGGAGGTATTCAAGTTCATTAAGAATTGATTACAAATTGAGACAGTAATAATAAGATACATTTACCCTTATATAGGAAGAATCTGTGCATGTCTGTGTGTGTCTCTGTGTGTGTTTTATTACCAGAGGAGGAACTGGAGAAGGTGTGGTAGAACAAGCCAGTGTAACATCGCTAGTGGTAGTCTGCATTAGTTGAGTCTTTTGGGTGGGAGGATGTAGGGAAACATATTTGGTAATATATTTCAAGAACTTTAGAATTTTTCATGTTCTTTAACTCATTTATAGTTTTATTATAGCTGAATAGAGTACTTATAGGCTTACCATAGCTGCAGAGATTCTCTTTGCATCTCTGTTGATAAATGAAGAAAATTTTAATACGACACATATGGAAATACCAAATAGTTTTTCTGGTATGAGAAACTGAAAGTGTAAACGAGGACCAAAATGTATAATAGATAATGTGAACTAGGAAGAAAAGGTCCAAAGGGGAAGGAGAAATGGGGTGGGGAGAAGGGGAAAAAATATGAGAAAGGAAGAAAAGAACAGAAGCAAAGCTCTTTGTAAATAGGGAAAGAGGGAGGGAGAGGAGGGGTAGAACGGAAGGCAGGGAAATGGGGAACAAAGAAGAACCAAGATATATCATGTACAGGTTCAAATTCCCAATGATGAACATGATCATAATGTATACCTAAAATACCAATAAACAATGAAAAAAAGAAATGAAAATTTAATAGCAGTCTAAGAATAAAAAGCACATTTATCTAAAAATGACTATATCAATAAAATGGAAATTTATGCAGTGTAAAGTATATTTTAGAAATCTAAGTCTGAAAATTTTATGATACATAAAAACAAATGAGGTTAAAGTAGTATGCAAAGTGAGACCCTATTTTTATTTTATTTATTTATTTTTGGTACTGGAGATTGAACTCGGGTCCTTGTGCTTGCAAGGCAGGCCACCGAACCGCTGAGCTAAATCCCCAGCCCCCTATTTTTATTTTAAAAGTCCCCCCAAAAAAGAAATTAGCATATAGAAAATACTTGAGGAAAAGTTATCAAAATATTACCATGATTATTCATGTGTGGTAGATTTACTTGTAATTTTTATTTGGTTCATTATGTGCAATAATATATTCTAAATGAGTTGAACAAATATTATGGGTATGATCACTGCAATGTTTTGAAAATACTATTTTAAAATGGTGGTAAACAGTTACAGTATAAAAGTTATTTTATTATTAAACTGCTTAATAGTTTATGTTTTGACTCCTACAATAACTTTATGAAAACATTTGAAAGTTGTTTAACTGGGCTGGGGATGTCCTTAAGTAGAGTGTTCGCCTCACACACAGCATGCGGCCCTTTGTTTGATACCCAGCACTTCAGGTAAACAAAAGTTAGGAGTGTTGCACCCATAGAGTTAGTATCTTACACCACGTAGGTAAAACTTCAGTGCAGGTCCTATGTACTGATCGGTAAAGATTACCTCTGCGGCTGACCGGTCCTCACCGGTCTGCTGGATGAAGCGGTAAAGATATCCTCTGACAGTTCATTGAACTTATTCAAAGTCTTACTCCAAATACGTCAGGGAAATTAGAGCTTTTTATTTTATTTTGACTGAACATTAGAGAACTACAATATAGTAAACCTTGTCAAAGTTTTCTTTAATTGTGCTTTTTCTATAGGAGTTAAATAAAGTCATAACTCAGTTGGATCAAATCACTGCAAAGTTACAAGATAAGCAGGAACATTGCAGTCAGTTGGAAAGTCATCTTAAAGAATATAAAGAGAAACACCTTTCTTTAGAACAAAAAACCGAAGAGCTAGAAGGTCAAATTAAGGTTTGTATAAAAGAAGTTGAATTTAGATATATTTTCTACCCATAGCATTGGAATTTTTGATGATCTGCATTAAATCAGAGTTTTTAAATTAAAATTCAAGTTGTGTTATAAAATTCAAAAAATTAGTTTTCTTTATTCACCTTAATTTTGAAATCTATCCTTATTTTTAACTCTTATCTTTTATAAATGATAGCTAACATATATACTGAATTCACTGTGGAGTATTTCCAAGGAGAGCCAACCAGGCAATTATAAGGGCTTTATCAGTTTTTTACTGTTGTAAATTCTCTTCCATTATTTCCTTTTTCCATGTCCATATCTCTTTATTCCAATATAATATTTCACATATAATAAGTTTTTCTATTTTACATTTATACCCTTTGGATTTTGCTTCTCATTTAACACGTTTAGGCTGTGGTAAGCTGAATCTTTATCACAATTCCAAGTGGTGTTATTTTACTACAGAGGTGAAATGATCAGACCAGTGAGAGCAAACCTTTTAGAGCCGTCAATGACACAAACAGCCCTCTGTGGCATGAGTGCCACACCTGGATTAGACATATTTGTCTTAGTTACTTCTCATTGCTGGGACAAAGTACCCAACACTCACAATTTAAAGAGGAGAGATTTATTTTGTATCATGGTTTTAGTCCATGGTCAGCTGACTCCAAGGTGAAAACAATGGCCGAGAGGCTTGGCAGAGAAGAAGGTGCTCAACCTGTCGAAGCCTGGAAGCAGAAAGAGAAGGAAGGAGCCGGGAATATGAACCTGTCCTTCTAGTGGCACAGTGAACCACCTCCAACCAGGCTGTCTCCTTACAGCACCTGCAGATCAAGTCAGCTTCTACTCACATGAGAACTTTGGGGAGCATTTGAAATCTAAAGCATAGCAGTGTTAGAGGAAGATTTGACCTAAGTTGTGTGTCCTTTTATTAAAACTACTGTCAGTTCCACAATCGGAGAAAGCAGGGGTACATGGATCACAGCATCGTGGATATGTACACATGTATACCCATACCGATATAACATGAAGGGAGAATGACATTTACAGTTGTGCTTATGGTTCCTTTTACTTGTCCTTGTGGCCAACAGTAGTAGTAATGACAAATTAGATATGGCTGAAAATGGAATACTGTTTTAATGAACAAATAACTATTGAGAATTCTTTTGGGGAACTATTTAAAAATAATTGTTGTTTAGAACCAAGAGTGTCTATTAATGATTATTAGCTCTTGAACCTTTTATAATTGCTAGTTTAAAAATGTTCCATGTATTTTATGTGAACATTGTAGAATTTATTACATCAAAAATCTTTTCTTTCATGAGAATTTTCAAAATTGGTCTTGTAGGAGTCATAGGTACCAAATGGCTTATAAAACATTTAGGTATGCGGGGTCATTATGTATTGCTTGTCGATATTCAAACTTACATTTAGCTAATTGATCTTGTAAACTTATAAAAATACACACATAGCTATGTGAATATGAGACGTATACTAGAACAACAATAATATCTAAAATAAGATTATAAAACGAAATCAAGAATTTAATTGGCTCTATATTTACAGTCAATAGATAAGAAGGATTACATACATGACAACTCCATTTTAATTTTAAATAGAACTACCTCAATATTAATTGTGAATATAAAGGTATTTTCAGTGGGTACATGACAGACTGGTTACATATTTTTTTCAAACTTGAGTTAATGATTTTTACTCTAGTAATAAATATTTAAGTTTATTCCCCTGTTCAGAATTAATATTGAAATTAAACATTGACTGATTATACTGTGCAAAGCCTATGCTTATTATGTATAAATTCTATTCTGGGTCCTTTTAAAAGATTCTAACATAGGTGACCTCTTACAGTGATGGTTTTTTAAATAAAATAAATTTTTATGCTTTTTATGTGACACATTAATTCCAACTTGAATATAAGTAAAATTATCAATACATAATATTTAATAGATTGATAATCAACAACATTAAAATAGCTGCTATATTACATTTCTTCCATAGAAACTAGAATCTGAAACTCTTGAAGTGAAAGCAAGCAAGGAACAAGCTTTGCATGACCTTCAACAGCAAAGACAGCTGAGCACAGATTTGGAGCTGAAGACCACAGAATTGAGTAAGCAGCTTGAAATGGAGAAAGAAATGTAAGCTCAAGTCTCTCACTTAAAAATTAAGGGAGAGGATTATGAACAAAACATTAAAATTTTCTTAAGATTTCAGTTTTGTTATTACAGTCCTTAAAGAGTAAAGTTTTTATTTTGTATTAACTTGATAAACTTTGATATTAGTGTGAATGAAAAATAAAGCTGCCATGTGGCTAAGGTTAATTTCACTATAAAAAACTGGAAATTTAGTTTTATAAAATTTGGGTCAGGTATTCTGTTTTCAACACAAAGTATCCCTTTGCTTGCTTTTTCTTTTTGTTGTTTTTGTTTGTTTGTTTTTGTTTTTTCAGGCAGGGTCTCACTATGTAGGCCTTTTATGTCTTTTTTATTGCTGGGTGGGACCTCTAGTAAAATTTCGAATGTAAATGTTATAGCAGGCATCATTGCCCTTTTTAGGTTTAGGCAGGGAATAATAAATGTTTCATCAAGTTTGGAGGTAGTTGTAGAAGTTTTCCTTAGAATTCTGAGGATGTTTCCTTCTTTGACTAATTTTCTTCAAGTTTCTTTTTTTTATAATCTTGCCTGAATTTTATCACTTCTTTTTCTAAATCTGATATGATTATATATATTTTTTTCTTTATTCTGTTAGTATGGTTAATTACAATTGACTGATTTTTCTCATAGTAAACCAGCCTTGCTTTTATGTGATAAATTCCACTTGACTATGCTATAGTATTCTTTTTATATATTGCTGTTTTAATTTAGTAATACAGTGAGCCCTCCAGTCTGTGGGTTTCACATTTGTGGAGTCAACCAACTGAGGATCACATCTATTCAGAAAAAAACTGTGATTATACTGAACATAATTGACCTTTTTCCTTTTTATTATTACCTATGTAATACAGTAAAACAACCATTTATATAACATTTGCGTTATATAACGTAGCATAAGTAATCTAAAGATAATTTAAACTATACAGGAGACTGTGTGTAGGTCACTTTTAACCATACCATTTTAGATAGAGAACTGGAGCATCTGCAGATTTTAATGTTTGTGAGGGTGCTAGACCCAACCCAATGGATGCTAAGGGACAGATGGTTCTACTTTATTAAGAATTTTTTATGCATTCATGAAGAGTATTTGTAATGTTCTTTCAATATCATTGTCAGGTTTTATTAGAATTACTGGTCATAGAAAAGAATGAAGTATTTTATCCTTCTCTACTTCTGACAGTTTGTATGTGGTGAATATTATTTACTTCTTAAATGTTTAATGGAATTTATAAGTGAACAGGCTGGGCCTGAAAATTCTCTTTGGGTTGCTTCATTTAGATTTAATTTTAAATAAACTAAGTTTGGATACAGTGTTATTCTAATTTTCTAATGTTTCTTGAGTCCACTTTGGTTATTTGTATCTTGCAGTGGATTTGTCCATTTTATCCAAACTTCAGATTTACTGGCATAATCCTATACTTTAAATGTCTTATCAAGCACATAACATATTTTATGTTTTCAAGAAAGAAGCAAAATTCTTTTTGTGCTTGGAAACTAATACACTGAATAGGTTATTTTGGATTCATGGAAAAACTTTTCTGGGTATTGTAGCCCCTTGGCCTGCAATGTATAGTTTTATTTGAGGATTTGTTATCATGGAAAAGACTGGGTTAAGTCAGGAGGTTTAGATGGTTTTGGCTGTATTACTAACTTATTTGACTTGAAAAAAGTTTTTTACAACTGTTAAATGATTTGATCAGATGTTCTAAGGCATTTTTCTTTTGTGATTTTATGAATTTAAATTGTTTTATTTCTGAATCGCATTTAAAAATTATTTCTTAAATATCTAGAGTATCCAGAACAAAATTAGATCTACTGAAAAATTCTGAGACTCTTGAAACTCTTAAGCAAATGCTTACCAAGGAAGAGGAGGAAAATGCTGTCCTGAAACAAGAAGTTGAAAAGTTAAATCACGATTTAAAGATGCAGCAAGAGGAACTGAGTAACAGCATTCGAACAACACAGACTGAACTAAAGGAAGTAAAAATGGAGAAAGAAATGCTAATGACAGAACTTGCTGCAGCAAAAGACAAATTATTAAAAGTATCTGATTCCTTGAAAAGCTCCAAACGTGAATTTGAAAAGGAGAACCAGAAAGGAAAAGCTGCTATATTAGATTTGGTTAGTTGTTTACATTTACATTCTTTTACAAAATAAAAAAACATTTTAGTGCGCGTTTGCGGTGCATAATGTTTACATTCACCACAGAGAGTTGGTACTTGTGCATAACACATTTTAGTGCTTTTTGCTTCCCCTTCTCCTCCCTCCCCTCCTCCTGCATTTACCTTCTTAGAAGTGATTATCTTCTTTAAAGTAAACTTTTGGGGGCTTAATTCACTGTTTGCATCCTACACTAAAATGTTTTATAATATTTTTTCCGAGGAAAGAAATCAGGCTTCTTTAATCTGTGAAAAAGATAATCTAAATACTGGTATATTTATGTGTATGCATATTTTGTTGAGGCTGAGGATATTTCTGGTTGAATAAACAGTCCTTTTCTGTTGCTGGTCTGATGTTAGCTTTTGGGAGAGACTACAGCATATTTGTTTTGGGGGACATTTCCACAGAGTGTGTAACTACTAGTGAGTTGTTACATATTCCAAAGAAGATTTTAATAACTTTTAATTCTGGTATTATAAGCTTTTAGATTAATATTCTAAAACCCCAGATAATACCATGTTTAGATATCATAAAACATATTTAAAATGTAGGGAGAAAAATTTAGAGTCTCAGGAAATGCCTAAAGGGGAATGAACTCTTAGAAATGTTTCAATGCAAAATAGCAAAGTAAAGCAAAAATAAAACTCCTCTTTCTGATTATGAAGGCCAATGAAATTGGCTAGTAGTGTAAAGCACCTGTGAAATTAGTATGTGTTCCATTATTTTTTGTAGAAAACATTTCCAATCTATATACCTTCTCTTTTCAGTTATATGAGATTATTATTTTTTATTTTTTGTACGGGTGATCGAACTTGGGACCCTGTGCTTGCGAGTCAGGTAGTGGAACCACCGGCCCTATATGTGATTATTTTTTAATTTATTGGTTTAACATTTTCTTTTTTAAAAAACTTCCCCTCCCACTTCCCCTCCACCTTCTCCTAGTATGTAGTTCAGGCTGGCCTTACACTGTGTAGCCAAGGTCGGCCTCGAACTCATGGTGACCCTTCTGCCTCTGCCTTCTGAGTGCTGGGATTACAGGTGTGTGCCACTATGCCTGGCTTTTTCCATTTTCTTGTAGCCCATGGTTCTAATTTGTGGCAAATTTACTAATTATAAATCATTGCGTGATATGAAAATGTGATTTCCAAAGTGTTCTAAAGTATTGTCTAGAATACTTTTTTCAGTACTGGACATGGAACCCAGGGCCTCTCACATGCTAAGCAAGCACTCTACTGCTGAGCTACATCTCCAGCTCTATTTTATTATAACTGTTAGTTGATTAAAGAAACTCTTAGCAAATATAGCATAGATTTATATTTGCCTGTGTTTATTGGATTTTTGAGAATGTCTTGCTGTACAGTTCAGGCTGGCCTTGTGCTCACTGTGTAGTCCAGACTGACCTCCAGCATATGGCAATCCTCCTGTCTCAAGCTCCTGGGTGCTGGGATTATAGGTATTTGCACCACATCTGTCTGTTTTTATTATTGAAATGGGTGATCTTATCCCATTTTGACTCATCAGTGATTTTACTTTATTTGCATGTGTCTTATTAAGTTTATAAAACAAACTCTTAAGGCTATTATAAATACTTTCTATATAATATGGTATA